CTAAGGGATTATTAAACTGCAGGTAGGCAGTGCCTTGAGAGTGCCTTAGGAATGTGAGCCGGCAAAAGTTCCTGATGACAGCGAACTTTGCCCAATACCTGTTGTCTATATATATATATAAATATATATATATATATATATATATTGTACCTCCAGCAGGAGACCTGTAGGAAAACTTCATCTGAGAAGGAAAGAGCAGGTGAGTAATTGGAGCTGCAACTTTCTATTCCCTTCCTGCTTTGGTGGAGACAGCACAGGATTTTCTTGCCAGTTTCTTTTGCTTTAATCTGCTTGATCTTGCTGCTGTCTTATGAATCGAATTGAACAAATACCAAAACAAGAAGAAAAAAAAGGAAAAAGAAAGAAAGGAAAAAGGCTGTTTTTGTGAAATCCGGCTTGGGTCGGAGCTCAAAAGTGGAATGTTTGATTGATGGAATGTTTGATTGTCCCAGGGACCGAAGGGGAGGAAAGTTTTCTTATGAATGAAAGAGTCACCGAATTTAAAAAAAAATTAAAAATTGGAAGTGATAAGGGGTTGCTTTCATGGCAAAGAATTAAAGATGGGATGTATTGTTTAATTCTCTGGAAATCCTTCCCTTCGGTTCTTGGGGTCATCGATATTTTTTTTTAGTAGATTTTTTTACACTTTTCAGGCTACTCTTTAAAAAATAGATATTTGCAGAGGGGGAAGAGGCGAGATAACTTGCTTTGGATGTGGTGAATTAAAGTGTTCTACCTTGAAAAAGTTTACAAGAAAAAGCCCAGTGAAACTTAAGATTCCAACCCACACATACCCCCAAAAGGATTCGATTTCCATCTAATGCTTTCCTGAATTTGAACCTTCTTATCATGGGATCTTGTTGGAATTTATTTATTTGTTTATTTATTTATTTGTTTGTTTATTTATATTTGTCAAGAGCTTACAATATAACAGAAACAAGAACAAACATAAGTTTAACAACAAGAAATAGGAACTAATAATTGGGAACAACAGGACAGGGATGTAGGCATGATTGTGCGCTTATGCACCACCTCTTCATTAGATTTGAGTGCACTGTGTTGTGGTTTTGTTTTTGTTTTTAATTTGGAGCAGGTTTTTTTTGGGGGGGGGGTGTTGAGAAACGCAGGAGCAATTGTTCGGGAGACGCTCCTTCTAAATGCATCCGTCTTAGGAAGAATGGATAGTGCTTTAGATTTAATGAATAGCTGCTTTGATGCCATGAGCAAAACTGGAAGATTACTCATTCCCAGTGTCATCCTTCTCTCTCTCTCTCTCTCTCTCTCTCTCTCTCTCTGCTTCTGGTGACATGTGCATGTGATCAGCGCATAGATCCTGACAGGGAGGGATGTCCCAGGAGCAGGAAAAACTCGCCCAAGTAATCTTCAGCTGCTCTCCAAAGCAGTTATTTAAAAGGATCGCTTGTTCCATCATGCAAAACATTCTTCTCACCGATGACTTCATTAGGAAGTCCTGGGGGTGGTGGGGGAAGCAAGGGGGAAAAAAAATCATAATTAGCGAGGATGAACTAATGTGACCAGCTGGAACTATTCACCTGATGAAGTTGTTTCGCCTTCTTGAATCTGTGGCTGTGCATAAGCCATGTTCACGTTTGGAAGCATCAAACAATTAGTAGTTGCGTTAACCACAATGCCGCCTCCGAGAAACCGTGTGTGCCTTGCTTCGTCTTGTTTCCTTTTTGTGCATTGGCCAACTTTTGTGTATTGGCCAACTTTGGCAAAACCAAGTTAAAGCCAAGGGTAGACTGGTATTTAAATTGAGAAGATGGACGGAAATGTTTCCCTGAGCTTCCCTGAATGCTTGCCTGCCAGCCTGAAATTAGCCTGCAGTACAGAGTTGTGGTGACATTTAATTGGACAGAAAATACTTTATGGGGGAAATAGGATATTTTTTCCCAAAGGAAGTTGAGACTTGTCATTGAAGAAGATTGATGGGGATGGTCTCACTGGCATAAAATATCAAATAGGCAATACAAAATGCAATGATTTTGCATGGATAATGCAAGCTCTTTAATTGCCTCCAATATGTTTATAGAGAAATATTTATCATCGGGGAATTAACCCTAAAAGAAGTCTAAATTCGGCATCTTATTGTAGGTTTGATGATATAAACAATGACAAATATAAAGTTGAAAAAAGAGGTATAAGTGAACTAAGGAATCATCCTAAGATCTACTAGTTGAACTAAAGCAACAAAAATAAATTTGGTCCTTATCCATAATTCTGACCTTGGAGCAGTATCTAATGTAGCTGAAATCATACTTTATAATGTCTAAACAATAAGAGCAAAATACAAATATGGCATGTTTTCTAGCCCAGTTCACATGCACTGCATGTCAATTCCTGCTTTATTTCATATATCGACACATAGGATTTGGCTACATTAGATTAGAAAAGAAGATTAGATTAGAAGATTCTAATCTAATAAAGAAGTCTAGATTAGATAAGAAGGACCAGGGGAGATATGATAGCAGCCTTCTAGTATTTGAGGGGCTGCTGCAAAGAAAAGGGGGTCAAATTATTCTCCAAAGCACCTGAAGGCAGGACAAGAAACAATGGATGGAAATTCACCAAGGAGAGAAGCAAACTAGATCAAAGGAGGAATTTCCTAACAATAAAAACAATTAATCAGTGGAACAACTTGCCTCCAGAAGCTTCAACACTGGAAGTTATTAAGAAGATACTGGATAACCATTTGTCTGAAACGGTATAGGATTTTCTGCCTAAGCAGGGGGTTGGACTAGAAGACCTCCAAGGTCCCTTCCAACTCTGTTACCCTACTCTACATTATAAACAATGGACAAGTCATTATCCAAAAGTAATACGTGGGGATAAAACTGGTGGCATTCTTATAAGTAATGGATGAATAGGTGAGCTGAATGTCTACAAGATTCTCAGTCATCCAGGTCACAGGTGCTTTTTCAAGAGGCCACTGGACTTTATTTTTCCTTTCGCTTCTCATCCAAGAAGCTTCTTCAGATCTGACTGAATGGCTGGAAGGATGGAAGGGTTTATGTTCCTTGCAGTCATCTGGTCGTTAGCACTGCTTCTGAGAACCATTGAGGCCACTTGGAGGTTTGTCTGTGCCCTCGGGGTCACCGGAGTGGTACAAATGGAGCCTTCTTGGAACTGCTGAGAGGATCTGCATTGTAGACTGGAGATAGATGATGCTGTATCCCTCCCCCTCTGTTGAGAGAGGGCTCTTCAATCTTAATGTAGATGTAATGTAGGATTTCGATAAATCTCCAAGTGGCTTCAGAAAGAGCCCTAGTGATGTTTGCGAGAAATATAAATTCAGGTTAACTTCCAAGTGGCCTCAACGACTCTCAGGAAGAATGCAAATGACCAGCTATCTGCAAGGAATATAAATCCTTCCATTCCCCACCATTCAGTCAGCGCCGAAGAAGCTCCTTGGATGAGAAGCAAAACGTCTTCAAGGGAAATCAAGAAAGTCCAGTTGCCTCTTGAAAACAAAGATCCCAGTGTTGAGCACCCATAACTTCTGGAGGTGAGTTGTTCCACTTGTTCATTGTTCTCACCATCAGGAAATTTCTCCTTAGTCCTAAGCTGGTTCTCTTCTTGATGGGTTTCTATCCCTTGCTTCCTTTTCCTGCCTATTGCCAGCTCTGAGGTCAACGTGCAAGCTGCAATATCATCGTGCAATATGCGATGAAGAACATGTTCCTACGCGACCATCCCAGCATAGAGATAAATGGTTCATCTAAAGAATCTTCCTCTATTTTAATTCTAGACGTAGCCAAGGGGAGGACATTCACATGTGCCAAAGTATATAAAACTTTTCATATTGAGCAACCTTTAACTGCCTTAGACAGGAAACAGATATATTTGAAACTTTTTCTAATAGCTGGGGTTGCAACCAGATCAGACTGGCACACCATAGTTATCATAGGAACATTAAACTGAGCAGTAAGACATGCCTTTCAGTTTATAAAACTGATCCTTGGTCTATGCCATCAAACTCCAATGAAATCACCTCTCCCAAAGGTGCTTTTGCAAAGACGCAACTGGACTTCTTTGCTTTTCTTTGAAGACATTTTGCTTCTCATCCAAGGAGCTTCTTCAGTCTTGAAGACAAGAAAGTCCAGTTGCCTCTTGAAAACTGCTTCGGATAAAGCCGCCACCTACTTGCGAAGAGTGTTGGGCAAGAGCCTGGATCAGGGATCCTCAAACTTGGCCACTTTAGGACTTGTTGAAGTCCACAAGTCTCAAGCCTTTGGCCTGGATGATGGATGAATCTCTATAGACACCTGTCTCCCTGTTAGCTATTGGCTATCAATTATGTTGGCGTAATGGTTAAGGCAGCAAGTAGGAAACTGGGAGACTGTGAGTTTTAATCCTACCTTAAGAAGGTTATAATGGCAAACCACTTCGGAAAAAGAAATCTTGCCAAGTAAACTGTAGCAATGTCTCCAGGTACCATCCAAAAATTGGACAGAATTGTACAAAAGGGGGAAAAATGAACTTGTTCCTCCAAAGGACATGTTTTTGAAATCTAATCAATCAATCAATCAGAATTGAGCTGCAAGAAACCTTGGAAAGCTTTTAGTCCAGCCCCCTTCTCAAGCAGAAAGTCTCTGTGATTTCAGACAAGTGACTGTTCAGTCTCATCTATAGTGATGAAATCCCTACAACATCTGAAGGCAACTGTTATTCCACCGGTTAATTGTCCTCTTTGTTAGGAAGTTTCTCCTTAATTTGCTTCTCTCCTTGATTAATTTCCATCCATTGTTTCTTGTCTTGTCTTCTGGTGCCTTGGAAAATAAGTTGATCTCCACTTCTTTGGGGCAGACCCTCAAATACTGGAATATTGCTATGGTACCCCACCTGCTCCTTCTTTACAAAGGGTAATTGCCAGATTTATTGCCCTTCCTTTCTGGAAAGGAAAGGCCAAAGTAACTCAATAGGTATGGTAAGTAAGCCATCAGCATACAAATAACTTTTCATAAGTTTTCATAGAACTCTAGTATTTCTCTTAAGCATGGGAGGCGTTCTACTGAACATCAGTTTCAAACTGACTTTGATTTTGTATTTCTTTAAACTCAAAGAGTTTAAAAACTCAAGAGTTTTCAATCGTTCTTTAAAATTCAAGAGCATTTAATTTTCTTTTTTAAAAATATAATTTATTGAACCAATATAACTACAGTTTCTGAGAGCCCAAGT